TCAAGATTTAATCCTCGCTAGAATCCAAATTCGATATATTTGGGAACGTTTACCTGCAATTAATGGGTTCAAGTTTTCAAAGATGTGTTAGATCGAGATTCTGAAATTAAAGAATCAAGTTTCCTCGGTTCCGATAAATGGTTTCTAAAGATGTGTTGAATTAAGATTCCGAAATTAAGGAATCAAATTCCTTGGTTCCGAAAAAAGGTTTCTAAAGATGTGTCGATCGAGATTCCGAAATTAAAGAATCGAGTTTCTTTGGTTCCGAAAAACGATTTCCGTGAAGATTCCTTAACGAAAACGCGAAATCGGGTTTCAAAACCGGAAACGCGGAATCGGGTTTCGAAACCGGAAACGCGAGGTCAATGGAGAGATTCCGGTAACTATGAAAAGGACAAATTTGCTTGATGCCAAGACCATGGACGCAACTGTGGGACTAAACAAAAGACTCATAGTTGCCGGGTCCCCCAATATAGGTGGTGCCCAGCTCAGGAATCTAGCTCCAGTACTTGGGGTCAGGGATCTTCAAGGGATCTCGATTTTTAAATTTGAGATCTTGATCACCACTATAGGGATCCCGATTCCTACTATTAGGGATCTAGGCACTCTCTTGATTCTTCAAGGGTCAAGGCAATGGAACATCCAAAACAGTTCTAAATTAAAATTACATACAACCATAAGGGGGTAGTGTTAGTAATCAGCATCGCGGTAGATTTGAAGGGTAGACATCCTAATCTTTGTCATAAAGTGAGTGTTTGTATCCTTGGTGCAAAATCTCACTATTTAGTGTAATCTTATAATGGTCACTAGCCAAAGTGATCTCCAAGATCAGATTTCCGATATGCTACAAGTACTTGCACATATCGTACAAAGTAAATCCAAAACTTGAAGGGTAAAAAAGGGTTCAGGGAGCGCAATCTGCAAGAAAGACCCTTCTGGTTGCATTCTACTTCTTCAACTACACTAGAAACATATATTATGTGTCCAACTCTGACACTCGAATGCAAAGTTATGCCCTCCAGAAATTTGGGCCTAAAATTGTGAAGCCGAGGCTGTAAACTATATCTAAAAGGTCAAGGCCGCGCTCAGTACTTGCAGGGTGGCACAACAGAACATATGACTGCACAAGCGCTTTATGGTGCAATTGTGGTCATACAAGCGTGGCTTCAGACGATCCATGCAGCTGCATGCATGCAAAGGCAGAAGCACACACCTTTTGTGAATCCATGATCGTACCTAGCACTTGTGCAGCATTGGAACAAGCGAGGTTGCTCATAAAACCAGCGGCCGCATTCGCACGAACCACCGTACAAGCTCAAGCTAGTGGCCCACATGTGTGCAGGCCACATGTGCAGATTTGCACATGTGTTAGTCTTGCATGTGCCTGAATTGCTCCTGCAAGATCACATAGGACCTCAATGTTGGAGCATGCAGTGAATGTGGACATATAGATTTGCTTCTAGTCTGGTCCACCATGCTTGTGTTGTCTGCGGCATCACTGCGCTAGAACACACAGTCCAAAGCATGCATGCATGTTCATCCACCTCTCCAGTATGGTCAGCCAAACATGTGGGACCACAATACATCTTGTGCCATGAGCTTTTCCAGCAGCCACTGTGACGGCACAAACTCCCCTTTTATATAATTTTTTTCACTTTTATGTGCTTTTGCAGACCCTCCACATAGGTCGTAAGATCTGAGAAGCGACTTGAAAGTTGGACTATGTGATAAAGCACGGTGTCTATAAATTTAAATTTTTCTTTTCTTTCAACTTCTAGATCACTTACAATGTCCAATTACAAATAAAAGCTCTCTTGAAATAAATAAATAAAAATGGTTCTCACTTGCTACTGCTAAAAACAACTCTTTTATTCAATAAATGAACTTGACACATTGTTTTATGGGAATAGAAGAGAACAATAAAAGAAATAAAATAAATTAAGTAAAGTTGTTGGAAATTACCTCAACTGGGCTTAATACACCTCACACCGAGTCTCCTCCTCCAATGATGTTTAGGATCAATGATCAATGTCAAATCTACTAAGTATGGCAAGACCCTCTAATAATGAAAGTATATGGAACTATCTTGAACCTAAGTGCTAAGGCCTCAATGTCTTAGCCTACCTTAAGCCCCCTTGGCTTAACCTAGAGAGGTCAGAGAGAGAGAGAGATCCTAGGTGAGGCGTGCCCCCTTCTTCTTTCCATCTATGAGAGAAAGAACAATAGAAAGAGAGAGAGATTCCTTAAATGGGCGTGCCCCCTAGAGAGAGAAGGAGAGAGTAGAGAGAGCTTAGAGAGAGAAAAGACAAGATAAGAGGTATAGAGATTTAGGGGAGAGGTGACCCCTATTTATAGATTTTCTAATGCTTAGAGTTTGTCACTTTAGTGAGATCAAATCTAGATCATTGCTCTAAAGAGATTTGTGGGGTAAGAGATGTGAGTCATCAATTCTTTAGATCCACCATTAAGATTCAAATGAAGTTGCTAGAACTTTATCCTCCATTTTCTAAATTTATTCCCATCAAATATTCAAATAAGGAAAATGCAATCATACTTTCTTTTTTTAATGGATATTCATTCTATATTCATATAATCTTTGAATAGTCAAATACCTTGATTCATAAGACATACCATAATTTATAATCTTGATTCCTAAACCAAGACAGCTTAACAGCAAATTAGAAAGCCAACTTTGCATGAGAGGGCTTGGACCAAAATGGCAAGCCATCCCTCCTTGTGTGGGGCATGCCACCTTAAGTGGCTCCAAGTGGGCCCCACACAATCTCCATGTTATTTATTATTAAATTAATAATGGGGCCCCCAGCTTTCATGATGGGCCCCCAAATGTTAAGTTCAATTAATAAATGGTTTCTAGATAATTCTAAACAAGGTTTATTTCTCTTTAATTACTTGAAACATTGAAAATTGATTTTCTCTTATATTATAAATCTAAATGGTAAAAATACAAGAGTAATGATCCTATGAGACCCTCCCACACCCACGTGAATAGAACCCCAAAGGATCACTATTAAATTTGGCACAAATCTCTAGAAAAGTTAAGTCCCACACCCATATAATAACTTTTCTAAAGATCTATGCCAAATTTAATGGTGATCATTTGAGGTCCTACACACATGGGTGTGGGAGGGTCTCATAGGATCATTACTCAAAATACAATATCAAGATAATCACAAAAATTCAAATAATCAATCTAAAAATCATATAACATCAAAATAATTAAAACTAAATAATTTTTATGGGAATCGGATCCATATAACTCTAGAAATTATGAATATACTCGAGCACTCCAACTTCAACTGTAAACTACGATCCACACTAGCTTTCTCAAACGGACCCAGTGATTCCCACGACCCACAGGCCACTAACAGACCAGGGGATGCAATCCCAATCTATGGACTACAGGTTCTCCCCCAGAGATGAAACCATGGTCCCCCAGACCATGATACAACCACAGCTCTATGGTGCATATGGGTAATCTCTCGCACATATACATACTTCACCGTTAAAGGTGGTTCACTTTCTGATACGGCTATCTATATACATGTCATGTGATGGTTCGAGAGTGAGGCTTTGGCCCAGTCTCTAACAGTCAACCACCACACACAAGGGTCACACAGTCCCTTGGCTCATTCATCTGAGGGCAACTCCAACCTCATCAAGGGATGACCCACATAACCCTCATCGGTTTATTTCTATGCCCAGGTACTTTAAGTTTTCCAACTGGACTGGCCTAGCACGTCAAGCCAAATCTGAGTATCGACAAATAGCATTTGCCTCGTATGGTCCATTAGAAGATCATAGGACTCCATGGGCAGCATTCCTTTTCTGAATTTGATAGCCTTTTTTCTGTTTTTTATCTCCCTTTTGTCCATACGTGCAGCTACCCCAGGTCTAAAGCTCAATGCTTGTACCTCTAGTGGCCTCATGATTACTAAAACTAATAGTAAATCCCAAGCCTCGTCCGAAACTTCTTGAATTGCTAATGCATATCTTCTTTCTTAGGGTTTCCAGAGAGAGAAAATAGTAAAGGGTTTCTAGAGAGAGAAATTAGAAAGAGGAAACTAGGCGAGAGAGAGAGAGAAAGGAAGAGGAGGGATGAGTCCAAAGAGATAGCCGCCTTTTTGGAGATACACTTGAGTTCCACTTTTTCTCACAGAAGACATCTTTTGATCTCTCTCGACCTCGTTATATATAAATGTCCAATGAGGTGCAATCTTTCCTAAATTGGGTACTATTCCCACTAGCGAACCTTATTCCTAATAGAAATCCTGATGTCCTTTTCTCTGATAACCAATACTGAAAATACCATGGAGACTCTTACACCCAAAGGGCCGGACTCCAAATCCAACAATATAGATTCTGAATCTGATGTTTGCATGAGCTGAATTCTAAAATAAGAAGAAAGAGAGCATCACATAAACCACCAAAAACCTAATCCTATGCACCTTTTATTTTAATTTAGGCAAAAGGCATCCATCACAAAAGTAGGAAACCGTCACAGATACAGAAAAAAAAAAGTATAGGTTTCTACAAGTAGCGTCAGAAGTATAATTCTTCCATGCAAGACGCCATGTACTGATGACATGGAACGAAGGAATGGTTCTTGTGAGCAAAGTCATCTCTCTACACTGAATACATAAGAAAGGCCCTTCTCAAAGCCCAACCTTTTTCATCAACCAAATAAAGGAAGGTAAGTATGTCATACACGACCCATACACTACCCCACAGGGGATCTACGGAGTGTTCCCATGGAGGTTAACTCTAGGATACACTTAAGCTTCATGGAGCCCCTGTTGTGCATATCTTACCATGTATCAGTGTGAAGAGAGCTCTCTCGATTTTTCATATGTCTCTTTAATTTAGGGTAAATTGGTATCTCATCCCTTTCCATTTTCAATTGTGAAACCGCAATATAGAGAGATAAGAAACAAAGAGAAAAAAATAATCAGGAAACAAATAGAGATAGCGAAAGAGAGCACCTGAAAGCTGAGGAGTGGAGATTGGAAAATGGCGTTGAGGGAGGACGAAGGAACCCCGTTGAGAAGAAGTGGGAAGAAAACGTGGAGTAGTTAATATGCCTGCTCCTGCTGCCGCTGCAAATGCCGCCATTGCTTCTCCCCCTCCCACTCTCTCTCCTCTCTCTCTCGCTAAACGCAAAGTCTTAAAGCAGGAAGCAGAAACCAGTCTACGCCCTCTCCTCCCTCCGCTGAATTTGCTTTTGGTCTTTTCTTACTATAAAGTATAAACACGATTCCAAGAAATTGGGCGAGATAGGGAAGCAATGAAAAATTGCCACATGTCAAGTAACGAAATTTTGATTGGAGTTGGCCTATCTAGAATCTCCAAGTCCGAATCAACCCTTACTCCACATCCACAATAGCAAGATAAGGGCCCATTCGGATGGATCCCACAGTGCCGTTGATTACCACAGTTGATGCCAATATTCCATTTTAAACCCTAACAGGCCTGTCCAAAATTCCCCTTAATATGGTAAAGTTCGCTTTGGACCAATGGTTTAAAAAATGGATCGGGCTTCCAAAAAACCTATCTGGTCTTAAGCGAACTTTACCTAAGGAAATCGGGAATCGGGTGAATCGGTCATAATAAAGCTTAAAAAAAATTCGAAAAAATTATTAAAATTCATTATAAATATTGTTTTTTAGG